GGGAGAAGCAGCGATTCATGGAGGGCGAAAAGTATGTGGCCATCATCTCGGAGGCCGCCTCCAGTGGCATCTCGCTGCAGAGCGACAAGAGAGTGTTGAATCAGCGCCGCCGCCTGCACATCACGCTGGAGCTGCCGTGGAGCGCAGACCGTGCCATTCAGCAGTTCGGGCGCACCCATCGCTCCAATCAGGTTAACTCCCCGGAGTATGTGTTTGTCATCACGAATCTCGCGGGGGAGCGACGCTTTGCCTCCACCGTGGCCAAGCGGTTGGAGAGCCTCGGAGCCCTGACCCAAGGCGATCGTCGGGCCACCGATGCCCGGGATCTGTCGCAGTTCAATATCGACAACTCCATCGGGAGACACACGCTCGAGCATGTGATGCAGCAGATGACTGGAGATAGGCCGCTGACCACGAAGCACATTCCCGACTCCTTCGTGGGAAACTTCCACGAAGACTGTGCCACGGCGCTGGCCGGCGTGGGGCTGCTCAGCATGCGGCAGGACAACGACCGCAAGATCTTCACCATGGAGAAGGACTGCAACAACATCACAAAGTTCCTAAATCGCATCCTCGGCTGCCGCGTGGAGATCCAGAATGCCATCTTCAAGTTCTTTCTGGGCAACATGTACTCGCTGATCACCCAAATGAAGCGCACTGGTCGCTACGACCTCGGTATACTCGATCTGGATGCCCACGGGGCAAGTGTGACGTCCTTGAAGCTGATGCGCTTCACGAGGGAACATGCCACGGGCACAGCAGCCACAGAACTGCACACGGTGAAGGTGGAACGTGGCATGTCCTTTGAGCAAGCGTTAGCCAAGTAAAGGAAAAATACTCTACACATTATCAAGTCCATCAGGTAATTCTAATTCCCTCTCTCCTTGCAGATACCGCAGGGAGGCCAAAGACTCGAACGAAGGATTTTACATCCTCAAGCAAAAGAGACGCAACAAAAACACTGCAGTCCTGTGCCTCAATGGACAAAGCCCTTCTCCTTTGGTGACACGCAAAGAATCCTCCACGCCGAGTCCCGTCTATCTGCAGCTGTACCGCCCGAATACTGGACCCCAAGTAAAGATTGAGAACCTCGCCTCCATTTCTCTACGCTATGTGCTGGTGAGTCCGGAGGAGGCACAAGAATACTGGCAGCACCAGTACGACGTCTGCCTCGACAAATGCTCCCATGTGTTCTGGAGACGCCTCTGCCCCAATCCCAACAGCTGCGAGGTGGGTCTGCGCGTGCGCACCTACCACGTGCTATCCGGCCTGATGCTGCCCATTTGGGGACGCATTGAGAAGATCATTGAACGGAATGGCCGCAAGATTCAGATCATACGCGTCAAGACGGATGTCAACAAGAAGATTGTGGGCACAGTGGTGCCCACAAGTGTCTACAATGAGCTGGTTAAGGATTTGTCAGCGGATTCAATGGTTTCGAGCAATCAGTAAAGGGTGCCAGAGAAGGGAGGTATAGATCTGTTTGCCATTCTGGCTGGGTTATTTTGTAGTACAATAAAATATCAAAGAATTTAAATATTCTGCACTCGAAAGATGGACTTCGACCTTTCGCATTACTTTCCTTTGAGAAGCTTGGCAACCATTCAAATGGTAAGCCATTCTCTATTATCCATTGGCCGTTCTTTATGCTGCTGTTTTGGGCACTTTAAGAATAACTCAAATTGTGGCATTAAGTGTTGGGGAATAAATATATCGCGTTGGCTTTCGCTTCTTGGAAATGCCAGGCACGCGCACACAAGCAACAGCAGGAGCAACAGCCATAAACAACGGCAACAAAGGACACTTTACAGGCTCTGTGTGTGTGTGTGTGTGTGTGTGTCTGGGTGCTGGCGGTAGCAAAGAATGTCATATGTATGGATGGGGGTGGGTCTGCACTCGCCAGTGGGGGAATGGAAATCTCTACAGCGTCTGTGATTGCATTGCATGTTTTTGTCTTGTTTCCATTTGCCAGGAGACCAACTAAGAAGGGAGAAGGACTCGTACGAGCGACTCTCAGTCACCCTCACCGACTCTCTCCACACACGGTCTCTGCTACATTATAAATTTTAAAACGCACACTCACATTGGAGATATAAACAACATTATACAATGGCAGTTGTTCGGTGCAAAGTACTAGCAGTAAAAGTCGGACAGAGGCAAGTGTGGGAAGAGACAGGATGGGGAGCTACTGCTGTAGAAGTAGGAGTACGATTACGAGTACTACGCATCGTATACCGTCTCGTATCCTACATACACATCTACGAATAAAGTATTTGCTAAATGGCCTTGGCAAATGTCGTGCCTAAGGAGCCAGAACAGAACGTTGTTATTCGGTGGCATAATAACTCACGCGTGATGCAGATTTCACATGTTGCAGCACCAAGACATCACCATTCGTTTATTCGCTTAAATGAAAGTTAACTGCAGGATACAAAGTCATATATGACATTTCTGGGAGGGGAGGAACAATGGCCTGAAGGATATTATTGTCAACATTTTGCGGAGGAAACGGAGGTTTTGTGCCTGAAAAATTACACAATGTGAAGGGATATAACCGAAAGGAGAAGTATAAATCAGTGATTAGCTATCATTTGTCTTGATTGCAAGCTAAAAAAGAACTAGCAGTGGGTTTTGGTAAAAAGAAAATCCAATGGTAAAGCTACCTATTATTGTGAAATTTTATATACAACGAGGAGCGACGTGTGATACGCTTCTTACGCGTCACAACTTTTATACCCGGCACTCAGTACTACATCTGCACCTTAGCGGTGTTTTGTCAAATTTTAAATTTTTTCTTCATCTGTCATCTAGATCTACATCACTTCTCACACCAACACGCTCCGTTAGCTCGACGCCATTCCTTAGACCCACACACTGCAGACTCGAGGCAGAGGCAGAGGCACCGTCCCCACAACAAAAAAAACCCACGGGGTGGGTTAAGAGTCGGTACAGGCATCGGCTGGGGGAGGGCAGAGGCACAGGCCGAGTGAAGCAGAAGCAGTGTGAATGGGAGAATGTAAAAAGAACAACAAAAGCTGCGGGACAGGGTAGTTTTAGCCACTGGAAATTAATTTGTCCATTGTGGCTATAATAATAATCCAATCGGATCCCAATTTGGTGATAGATATGGCCATTTCATACGGAATGGCGTTTTTAGTTTTCTTTTATCTTCAAAATTGTAGATTTGGGAGGTTTTCGCCCTTTTGCGGTGGCGGAAGGGGGCGTGGCTCATTTTTGAAATACACTGGTTTCAGTGTGAGCATACAGCAGTCCGGAGCAAAAAAAAAACCAAAATTTGGTGGCTCTAGCTCTATAGTCTCTGAGAACTAGCCGACAAACAAGACGGACAGACTGACAGACAGATATGGCTCTATCGGCTCGACTATTGATGCTGATCAAGAATATATATACTTTATGGGGTCGGAAACGCTTCCTTCTGTGCGTTACATACAACCGTTATTCCCCACAAATACAATATACCCTATTTACTATAGTATACCTCTTCAAGTACCGGGTATACTCATTCCTAGTCATAGAATCTACCTTTGTTTAAGAGTTTAATTTCATTTATAGAAAATGTATTTCCGAAATTTTCACCACTTTCAGTTTTTGTTCTGCCTCATTCCCCCTGAATTAATAGCTTTCAAAATTATATTGCTGGTCTGGTGCTCCCAACCATAGATCGATTCGCCCCGAATTATTGTCTCTTCACGACCTAGCTCCATTTGCCGCCAGGCGAGTACATTATAAAACTGTTTGTTTTCTGAGAAATTTTACCCAAAACGCCAGTCAAGTATCTGCATTTCCGCAACATACATATGTATGCGTATGTTAGGCAGTAGATATTCATGCATGGAGTTTGCTTTTTTGTTCCAGTGGCTCTCACTACGTCCCGATCATAAAGTTTATTTGCCCCGAGACCCCCAACAGCAGCAACAAGAACAGAGGCAATTGTCTTAACGGCAGCGCCAAAGAAATAAAAAACAGACAAATAAAAAATAATATTCTAAAATATGAAGTACTGGGCGCAAAAAGAAATTTATATAATCAAGGCACATACATATGTATGTATGTATATTCATTGTACATACATATGTACATATGTATGTACATACATATGTACATGCGGGTATGTATATACATATTCCTTAGCGTACAGCAGTAATTTCTGCTAAAGCAGTGGGCGTGCCCCAACACCACCAACACAACCCAACACATGTGGCATGAAAAACCCCTCATTGGCCATACAATCCAATACATTTTGAACGCCACGCGGAAACACCCGGCTTATACGTAACGCATTCGTAATATTCTCTCTCCTCCCCCTTTGACGACCCAAGAACTTGTACTCGCACTGGTTTTTTACGATGTCCGCAGTGTGCTTGCCCCAGCGATTTCCGTGAATATATTTTTTGGGTTGCTGGTTCCCACGGTGTGGCTTAAACCTGTGGTATATGTAATTGTCAAGAGATTTCCTCCGCAGAGGGTAGCAAACCGGGGAACCCCCCGAGCCCCTCTTCACTGGGGGCCGTTCCATTTTTGTGCCAGTAATTATGTTTATTTCAAATTTATTTTTATTAAGGCCGCCGCATCAGCAAAAGTCCTTAATTTAATTTAAGCGACTGCCATACATTTTGATAGCCCACATATTTCATTGGTCCATCCACCAACCCCCTTTCAACGTGGGTTTTCGGTGGGGGTTTGGCAAATTATTCACAATTTGTCATTTGTCTTTGATTTATTTGCATTTTAAAGGCTTTCAACGGAAAACGCTGGCTATGGGGCGACATCGCCCCATTTTAAATTTAAATTTTAGCCTGGTCGTGGTCCTGGCTCCTGTCCTACCTTTTGGTAGTTGTCGGCATTGCCTTATTCTTTTCATTCCCCCTCTCTCTCTCTCCTTTTGCCCATCGAATTCCTAGGGACCTGCCCCTGCCCCACCACCCAGCGTTCCTTTTCACGTATTCTTTAGATTCTTAAACACAATTTGTAATACTTACAAACGACATTCAATTTCCACATGGTCTCCAAATAAAGGCCATTCACATTTGGATTTTCCGCACGGCATGTTATCGATTTTCCATCATCGTCTGTGGTCGGCACAAAGCTCAGCTCTGAGCGTGTTGAGTTCTTTGATATGTCGTCCTGTTTAGACATAAAAAAAACAGATCGGACAAGGGAAGAGAACAGAAAAAAGAGAGAAATATTATAAGAATATTTTTCGGCATTAATGAAGTTTTTAGACCCAGACTTGGGACAGACGAAGACTTTGCCTTGAGGTAAAGTTTTCATTTGTTTCTGTCATTCGTTTTTGTTCTTGTTACAAATTGGATGAATGTGGAAATATGTTATGTTTGCAATTTAAAATGTATTGCATTTTAATGTGTACTAATAAAAGTAATTTATTAATGTATGAGTGTTTTTTTACGGGTCTTATGGGTCAAATGTGTGTGGGGTATTTTAGGAGCAGTATAAATTTAATGCAAAGAAAAACAGCGGCAACAAAGGCTTCGCATATTTAGTTGATCCCGTCACTCTCTTCTGGTCATTACCATGTTGTAGTGTCTTTGCCTTATTCTCTACATCTTTCATTTCTTTTACATAAACTGCTGCAGGGGAATACTCTTATGTTGTGAATGGTTGGACTGGGATTTCTCCCAGTTTTGTGTGTGTCTTGGCAGGAGCTAAAGTGTCGACACTTGTCGGGCATATAAATCCTTGTGTTGCACACATTTAAGCGATTGGGTTTGTGGGAAATGCTTTCAAAATTCAAGGAACTCTTTGTAAAGTGTGAAATAGTTTTTTTCTATTTGTAAATCCGTCATCTCATACCCTTGGCTTTCTTTATAACCAATTATGAGCTCTGTTGACAGATCAAATCACATTCCAGACTCAAAGTGAGCGTCATGTCAATTCATATTACTGCCAAACACAATCCTTGACTTAATGAGAGGTCCCCTGTCTCGTCTCTCGGTCTCTCGCTCTCTTTACTTTCGAAACTTTTACTGAAAAACCCTCCGTCCAACATTTACATTTCCATAGACTACATACACCAAATGCTTTCAATTTATAGGCTAAACTTCTCAATTAGACCGTCTGCAGGGCTTTGATTAATGTTTTTGCACAGCGCCACACAGCCACCCACACAGACACACAGGACGAATAGGCATGTAAAACATGTGGGATGGCGATGGCTGCCGGTAGAATCCATCCGACGTGTCCGTGTTTGTGAGGGGGGAGTGGGGTGGGGGTATGGGGCTGGCTGCTCGGATTCGACGTGTGGCAGGGTTGGCAGGAGAGTTGCGGGTGGTCTTTGCCGCATTACGGCAACTTTATACTACATGAAAACTAGTGAAAAACATTTCCGGTCTTTAAAAACATTGAGCTCAAAAACCAACCCCAGAACCAGAGCTAGTAACAGAAAAAAAGGGCATAGCAAGCCGGATATTCTTGGACATAAACAACGGACCGGGACCAAACCAGGACTCCGACTCGTGGACTCAAGGGCTAGAGAGGTCCCGCCCGACAGACAAAAAAAATGAATTGCAACAAAATTGCGCCAAAACTCCCATAAATTTTTCAAAGTTGAATAGAGCACAAAAACGAAATAGAGAGAGAGAGAGGGAGAGAGAGAGAGAAAAAATAAAATATAAAAACAAAGGAAAAAGAAAGCAGAAGATCTTGGTAGAGTCGAAAATGGAGATACCCTTGGAGATCCATGAACTAAATGATGGATGAGAATTGGAATGTGGATCCATGAGATACATGAACTAAATGATGGATGAGAATTTGAAAGAGGATTAAGTTACCAAAAAAAACGAGTTGGGACGTGTGAGACGCTTCTTACGCGTCACAACTTTAATACCCAGTACCCAGTAGTACGTCTAAACCTTGTAGTTTTTTCCAAATTTTACATTTTACATTTGTTCTACACCTGCATCTATATCTACATCTACCTCACGCTCTCTTAGCTGTCCCCCTCGCCTAGAGACGCACACTACACGAAACAGAGAGAGAAAATGTGAAAAAAATATTAAAAAACTGATGGGCGGGGTGGCCAATGGAAATGAATTTTTTCGTTCTGGCTATAATAATGATCCAATCTGATCAAAATTCGGTGATCTGATAGCAATGGTTTTTCCCTACCGATGCCGTTTTTAGTTTTTCCTTATCTTCAGAATTGTGGATATCGCAGATTTTCGCCCATTGCGTGGGCGAAAGGGAGCGAAATTTTGAAATACACTTGTAGCAGTGTGAGCATACAGCCATCTGGATGCAAACTTGGGTGGCTCTTACTTTAATGGTCTCAGAGATGCAGGCGCTCAACAAGACGGACATACGGACGGACGGACGGATGAACGGACAGAGAGCCATGGCTATATCGACTCGGCTATTGATGCTGATGCTCAAGAATATATATACTTTTTTTACCACATATACAATATGCCCTATTTACTCTTCTAGTACCGGGTATAAAAAAGTAGTGTTACAGCCAAAGCAGAAGCAAAAGCATTGTAGAGGAGTGTCATGGAGTGGCGGGGGAATCGTTTTTGTATTGTGGAGTTTATATCACATTATTTGCTGTTTATTTTAACCAAGTTTCGGAGGTGTTTTCCGCCCGCAGGACGAACGATGAGTGTGAACCACGCCCAGGGACAACAAGTGGGTGGGAATACAGTGCATCCCCCACCATTCCAATTCCCAGTTCGCCCCCTACCAATCTATATCTGCCATTGTCTGTGGATGTCTCTGATGGTTGGTTCAATGGGTGGTAATGGGTGTTTAGATGAGTGTGTGTGTGAGTGTAGTGGAAATAGTTACGGGCCACGTTTGTTTTGGCATGACTGTGCAAACAGAATAAGTTATCGAGCTTGAACGTGAGTCAGTCAACAGCAGACGAGAAAGACAGTCGAGAAAGGCAGGTAGAGTGAAGAAAGCCAGCAAACTAGCAGCGTCAATTGCGGTCACTCCAGGACCCAACACACACAAGACTCTACTCCACTCTCTTTCCACTCTCTCTGCTATCTCGCCCCCACCACTCACCTTCGTTCGTCGTAATTGCCGTTTTCCCTTGTACCACGTGATGATGGCGTTCGGTCGAGAGCCCGATGATTCGCAGGCAACTTCATAACGACGATCGGCAATCATTGAGCTCGGTGGCTCCAGGATACGCACCACCAGTGGTTTTACTGCAATGCGAAAATACAGAACAGAGAACATGATAGTAAATAGTGATAAGAATGGACATTCAATTGAATTACATTGCAATTGTAATTAAAGTTATGTTTGCCATCGTATTTCATAGCCCCATAATTGCCGGTGCCTGTGTGCCCTATCCTATCCTTTCCCTTACAATATATCCTTACAATCGGTAGAGTACCTTTCGTATCAACAACAATTTGTGTCTATTACGTCTCGACAGCTCTCGTGTGTTGCACTTCCTGGATGGCTGTTGCTAATTGCCGCTTGCCAGGATTATGACTTTGTTCGAGTCCTTCCATTGCCTTTGCATTTTTCTTTTGCCAAGTTTCCGTGTCTACAGCTAGTTGATAATTTGCTCAAAGAACACGACCGACATTTTTGTTGACGCCCCGACCCCTCCACACACACACAATACGGCTGAGGACTGTAGGCTGTGTGTTCTTCCTCCTTGGCATATAATTATTTAATGGGGTCTCTCTCATAATGTTACTTAAACTTGGCATTTAACCTTATGGAAAATAGAGTGGTACACTCAGAGAAAGAGAAACACTAAGATTTACACTTGGATTAAAAAATGTACTCCAAGAGATTTCCTCTGAGAATAGGAATTTAAAAAAAACATGTCTCGGTGAGAGAGCACAACCTGGTCTTGGCCATACTTAGCGAGCCATAAAAAACAGGCGATATAGAGTAGTGGGCGACGGACAGATCGGGGAAGGAATCACTGTGTGGAGGCCAGAGACGGATTTATGCGTGTGAGAGTTGGAAACGCTTGGGCACAAGAGTGGGGCTGTCAGGCCGCAAACGCAAGAGGTCGTACACTTCTTGAAACGTTCGCGTCGCTGGACCTAGCTCTTTTGAACGAGGGCTCTCAACAGACCTTTTGTAAGGAAGGCGCCGAGTCGATTATCGACCTCACATGCACGAGCCCTTGTCTCTCGAGCAACGCAAGTTGGCGAGTAGGAAAGGATTATACCGGAAGCGACAACGAATCCATGTGCTCTATTGACGAGCATCCCAGATCCAGGCGATCATCGAGCCGGGTCAAGGTCTACAGGGAGGACACGCTCAGCCCAAGTGCTCTCGCTCGAAGCCTCGGGACGTGGGAGACTTTCTGCGACGGCAGCGCCAATGAGTCGGTCAACCAGATCTCGTCGAGAATAGGGGATGCCTGTGACTCAAGTATGAGACAACGCAAGCCGTTCACGAGGCACCACAGGTCAACCGTCTGGTGGAACGCGGAGATGGAATTCGGATAACGTGTCTGAAAGCAAGGCGAATAAAGCAGAGAGCAAGGATTACGACGGAGTATGGCTTATCCCACGAGGAGGATAGGACTCCAGCTCTGCGACACAAAAGATCAAGATCCTTGGGGCAATACCTACAAGCTAGTAGTGAAGCGAGGAGGAGCTCGAGGAGATAGTGCGAATCCTGTTCCCAAGCACCCAGCCGAAAAGGGCTCCAGGCAGCTGTACATCAGTCCCTGTCAGCGAAAGGGTAACGGAAGGCGAGGTCCTAGAAGCCGGGAGGAGTTTGCCTAGCAAAGAAGCCCCAGGTCCACGCAGTGCCGAATAGAGCCCTGAAACTGGAATTGGCTCTACAGCCATCAGCTTTCTCCAGTGCCTCGAAGAAGGAACCTTCCCCGATCGGTGGAAACTACATAAGTTGCTGCAACTCCACAAGCCAGCTAAACCACCAGGCGATCCTTCCTCGTACAGGCCGATTTTTATCCCCGGTACTCGAAGAGTAAATAGGGTATATTGTATTTGTGCACAAAGTATGTAACACACAGAAGGAAACGTTTCCGTGTGAGAAGTGTTGTAGATGTATCTGACAGATGAAACAAAAATTTAAAATTTGACAAAACACCGCTAAGGTGCAGATGTATGTAGTACTGAGTGCCGGGTATAAAAGTTGTGACGCGTAAGAAGCTAGTTATCGAGAAGCTCATCGCACACAGGCTAAGGCGCGCCTTAGAAGACGCCGGATGCTTACGGAGTACGGAGTACGGCTTCAGTAAAGGCAGATCGACGCGAGATGCCATAGCCAAGGTCACAGAAATATAGGAGAACGCCATTAGTGGAATGCGGCGAAGAGGGGTAAGAAGCAGAAGCTACTCTGAACACAGCTTAACACACCGAATCGTAGTTGACGACCACGGCCCTTCAAATTGTGTTAATTACGGAGAATATTCGAATTAAATGTGGAGTCAGAGTTGGTGAAAAAGCTCCGCAGCTTCCAACACTCTCATATCCACAACTTTGAAGACAAGAGTCAACTAAAAACGCAGTTCCGAAAAGAATGTCCTTTTCTACCAGATCTCAGGGAGTGTGTGTCCCTGGGGGAGGGTAGCGAGCTACAAAGGCGTGTTGGTGTTAGGGGCCGTGTACGTCAACTACGATTCGGTGTGCTAAACTGTGTTCAGAGTAGCAGCAGCGAGTTAGCAGCGGACTGTTGCTAACAGCCGGAGCTCGCTTTCACTCTCTCTCTCTCTTTTCGGGCGTTAGCGAGCTGGCGGGCAGTCAGCCTCTATGCTAAGATCAGTTTTGCTACCCACCCACGTACATTCCGGTAAACGCTCGCTTTCGGATTTATATATGCAGCAACAAAAAGACGCCCTACTACGAACAAACTGTACAAAATTTGTTAAGAAAAACGACAAGCAAGACGGACAGACAGATATGATCATGAATATATACGCTTTTTAGAGTCCGAAAGGTTTCTTTCTGTGCGTTATAAATCCGTTATAAAAAGTACATAAATCCACTTTCTACCACAAATACAATGTTCCTTTTTTAATCTTCGAGTATAAAAATAAGCAAAGGTTTCAATCCCATTTAGGACTTAACCTTGATGGTCTTTCGCCCTTTCAATCTCACAACAGTTAACAGAGAGAGAATTCTGCTACAAGACATTTTTCTTGTACAAATATATGCATTATCGTTTACAACTTGTATGTACTTACAGTGCATATCCAGTATGAAGCTCTTCTCCTTGGGCTTATCTAATTGTGTATTCAGTGCCTGACATGTGAATACGGAATTCAAATCGTTTCGCTGCACCGATGGCCACAACAGACGGTTCTCGATAACATCGCCGGAATTGTGCTCGTTTTGATTGTCGACAAGCAGTCCATTTACGAGCCAACGGACCTGCGGCTGGGGTCGACCTAAAACCAACCAAAAAAGAAAGTACCAAAAACAGGCACAGGAAAAAGAGTTAGTGAAATGTTCGCAGTAGTAAAAACGAAAAATGATGCAAAATTAAAAAGTCAAGCTAAAACCAGCAGCGGCACACCAGCGAGACAGAGCTGCCAATGTCGTGCCAAAACGAAACGAAATGATAGGAAATAAAAAGCAAAAATAAAGCAAAGCAGACTTTGTGATATTTTCATTTGCAGCAGCAGCAGGCAGCAGTGGGAGAATTTTCCTTCAGTGCCTCAAACAACTCTTTAGTCCACTTGCCGGTCAAAGCTTTTAAGGAAATTAACAGGAAATTGTCTGGCCGAGCATACGGATATAGCCGTAAGCTATATGCACCAATGTGGGTGAGTGTTGAGAAGAGGGATTCGCATATTGGGGGAAATTTGTTTGTTTTCTATTTTTTGTATGGGGGATTTGGGGTTTTTTGGCCATCTATAGGGGTTAAGTTTGTCTACTGTAGTTAGAATAAACTTACCGCCCACCACACGACAAGTGATAACGATATCATCGCCCTCTTGCTTCGGCCCCAATTTAGAACCATTCAGCTGTCGGCCCCAACGATCCAAGATGATTGGCTGCTCCGGAAGTACTAGAAAACAGTAGCACACAAACACACATAAAAGAGAAATGTAAAGACAGCAGAGAGAGTGAGGCATGGCAGGGTTTAGCCATATGGTTTCAAATCTACTCCATCATTTTTGTGTGGGGGCAAAACTTACTTATTACTGACAAATTGAAGCGGAAACTTTGCGTTTGACTTGTGCGAAAATCCACACGACATCGGTAAATGCCCTGATCATGACGCTTGATATCCTGTAAAGACAGAGAGAGAGAGGGAGAGCGAAGGTGAGTGTGCAACAAGGACTTGTAAACTATTATGTGTTGGTGCAAAAAGGGAAAAACATGATTAGCATACAACAAACAATCCCAGCGCAACGAACACACACTTGCAAGTTTCTGTGGCCATATAATTTTCAATTATTGCATGTCACTTGAGCTACAAGCCTCAAGTGTGGTCTGGCACTCAAGAACCCAGCGGCCAGGCTCTGCTTCCACCTGGCTGACACTTAGATTTTCATTTGATTTTGGTTTCAGCCTACTATGCCACAATATTAGAGGATTTTCTTTGAATTAAAGTAGTTTTAGTTTCATTGTCTCTCTCGGGGAAAGCTTTTTAAAAGGCCATATGTGTCCACAAATGCCTTTTATTTATCTTCTTCAATAACTAAATTGAGCTGAGAATAAACCTATTCTATTTTCTTTTGATTATTTTTATGACATTCTCTGGCTTCTTTATTTCCATTCACTTGAAGAAGTTTTAAATAAATCTTTGACTGCGCTTGGCCCACAAGTTTGCTTATATTAAATCTATGTTGATCTTTGTCTATGCTTTTGCAAAGAGAATTTAAATTAAAATTTTATTTTGCATCTATGCCAGGCTTTTACATATGTATATAGTAAACTGTACAAGTAAATAAGTATTTTCAGGTAATATTTCATCAATATATCTAATGAGTCATTGGACCTAAAGCTCATTTAAACACTTACACATTTACACCCTTTGAAAAGAATAAAAAACGAGAAGGAACGTTTCGTACGAGTCGCAACTTTTATGCGCGGTCAGTCATTAACTCAGTCAACACATTTTTAAATTTTGTAATTATAAATATTTTCTAAATCGGTCTACTACGTCTTACCCAGAGCCGCACACTGCATTAAGCTGAGTGTGCGACTGAGATAGAATGCCAACAACAAGCAGGCATAAGCAACGCAGCTGGATGCGGTGGGGTGAAGTCACTGAATGAATGAATGAATTTCTCCATTCTGGCTATAATAATGATCTGCGTCGATTATAATACGAAGATCTGAGAGATATGGTTATTGTCTATCGTATCTTCAAAATTGTGGAAACACTTGTATCAGTGTGAAATTCAGCAGTCTGGAGGAACAATTAAATGGCTCTAGCTCCTATAGTCTCTGAGAACTAGCCGACAAACAAGACGGACGGACGGACGGACGGACGGACGAACGGACGGACAGACGGACATACAGATATAGACTTGGCTAATGATGCTGACCAAGAATATATACACTTTCTGGGGTCGGATATGTTGCCGGATCCCTTGGGATCCGATTGGATCATTATTATAGCAGGAACGAAGAAATTAATTTGCAGTGGCTAAACCCACCCTGTCCCGCAGCTTATGTTGTTATTTTCACAGTCTCTCATTCACACTCTGCTTCACTCCGCCTCAGCCTCTGCCGACTTTTAACGACACCCCCCCCCCCCCCCCCCCCCCCCCCCCCCCAC